AAGTCCAAATATTAGGATTCCCGCTCACACAAAACGAATTGTACCATATTTAGTACCAATTAGGTCTTCTCGTATCCATAAGTACGAAATTCCAATACTTCCTTAATCTTGTAATTTTAATTCCAAATTTACGTTTACTATCTCTATCCGTTAACTCGAATCAAAATTGTACCAATTTTTTTACCATTTACCATAATGACGAATTTTAAAAAATTACCGACATATCTCAATTCTGCACTCAAACTGTAATATTAATTCAAAATTTCAGAATACAGCCCTATTCGTTCACACATTTGTAAGTTTTTCGGTACCATTTAGTACTTTTTGTTTCTATAATTAAACATTTCCTAAACTATGTCAATCCTACACTCCAACAGTAATTTTAATTAAAAAATTCGGGAGTCCAGCTCTATCCGTTCACATGTAATCAAGTTGTACCAAATATAGTACTATTTAGTAGTAGGTAGGTGATATGCTTCCATATCTCAATTCTATATTCAAACATCAACCATTAGTCCAAATTATTGGTTTCCAGCTCTCTCCGTTCACCCAAATCCATCTAGTGCCGTTTAGTACTTTTCGTACACATAAATACGAGTTTCCAAAGATGTCTCTATAGCTCAATCTTCAACAGAAATCTTAATTCCAAATTTCAGGGTTTCAGTTCTATCCTTTCAAGCAACATCCAAATTGTACTAAATTTAGTACCATATATACCTTTCGTACCAAAAAGTACGAATTTCATAATCTACCTCAGTCCTACACTCCAACAGTTATTTTAATTCCCAATTTGAAGACTTCAGCTCTATCTGTTCACCTAAATCCAACTTCCACCAAATTTAGTACCAATTAAGTACTTTTCATACAAATAAGTACGATTTTTTAAAGCTAATTCCGATTATCAAGATTCCATCTCTACACACTCAACTGAAGGTAAATAGTACGGAATTTAGTACCATTTTACACTTTTTATACACATAAGTACGAATGTCTTAAACCATTTCCGTACATCAACACCACTTCCCAACATGTTTTCCATTTAAAATGTCAAGATTCCAGCTATATATGTTCAATATATATACAATAGGAAATAAATTCAGTAAAGTTTAGTACCTTTAGTACACTTATAGGTCGAATTTCCAAAAACCCTTTTGCACATCTTTCTAACTTTCCATCAGTGACCAACATTCCAAATTTCAGAATTCTAGCTCTTCCCGTTCGCTAATAAAAAGGGTACCATATTTGGTACATTTTAGTACTTTTCGTACCCTTCTACTTCCAACAAAACTTCCTGCATACCCCGATCCTACACCCCCATAATGATTCCAAATTTAAATGTACTAAATTTAGTACACAGTAGTACGAATTTCCAATACTTAACCCACACCCCCACAGTTATCCTAAATCCAAGTTTCAGAATTCCAACTCTATCGGTTCATCCACAATTCAATTTGTACCAAATTTAGTACACTGTAGTACGAATTTCCAAAACTTCCTACTTAACCCAAACCTACACTCCACAGTGATCCTAATTCCAAGTTTCAGAATTCCAACGCTATCGGTTCACTCACAATCCAAATTGTACCAAATTTAGTACACAGTAGTATGAATTTCCAAAACCTCCAACTTACCCTAACCCTACAACCCCACAGTGACCCTAAATCCAAGTTTCAGTTTACAACTCTATCGGTTCACTCACAATTCAAATTGTACCAAATTTAGTACACAGTAGTACGAATTTCCAAAACCTCCAACTTACCCTAACCCTACAACCCCACAGTGACCCTAAATCCAAGTTTCAGGATTACAACTCTATCGGTTCACTCACAATTCAATTTGTACCAAATTTAGTACACTGCAGTACGAATTTCCAAAACTTCCTACAGACCCCAATCCTACACCCTCACAGTGATCCTAAATCCAAGTTTCAGGATTCCAACTCTATCGGTTCACCCTCAATTCAAATTGTACCAAATTTAGTACATAGTTGTACCAATTTCCAAAACTTCCTAAATATCCCAATCCTACACCCCCACAGTGATCCTAAATCCAAGTTTCAGGATTTCAACTCTATCGGTTCACCTACAGTTCAAATTGTACGATATTAAGTACACAGTAGTACGAATTTCGAAAACTTCTTACTTACCCCAAACATAGATGCTAAATCCAAGTTTCAGGATTACAACTCTTTCTGTTCACTCACAATTCAAATTGTACCAAATTTAGTACACAGTAGTACGAATTTCCAAAACGTCCCACTGAACCCAAACTTTCACCCCCAGAGTGATCCTAAATCCAAGATTTAGGATTCCAACTCTATCGGTTCACCCACAATTCAAATTGTACCAAATTTAGTACATATTAGTAAAAATTTTTAAAACTTCCTACATATCTCGATCTTACACCCCAACAGTGATCCTGACTACAAATTTCATGATTCTAGCTCTATTGGTTTGCATAAAATTCAAATTGTACCAAATTTAGTACCATTTAGTACCCATGAATAAAAATTACTGAAACTGGGTAAAAAATCCAAAACTACGTACATTCCCAATCCTACACTCCGACGGTAATGTTAATTTCAAATTTCAGGATTCCAGCTCGATTTTTATCTCCAAATTAAATTTGTACCAAATATAGTATCATATAGTACTTTTCGTACACATGAGTACACGCTTCCAAAACCATCTCCTTAAATGGACTCTACATCTCATCCCTAATTCGCATTCCAAATTTCAAGTTTTTAGCTCTATCAATTCACATGGTACGAAATTGTACAAAATTAAGTACATTTTAGTACTTTTCGGATATTTATAGTTCGAATTTCCAAAAACCCGTTGATACATATATCCTACACTCAGCGACCACCAATCCAAATTTCAGAGTTCTAGCTCTACCGGTTCGTCAAATACAAATGGTATCACATTTAGTACTTTTCGTACCGTTCTAGTACGATTTTCCAAAAACGCTTTTGTACATCTTCCTAACTTTACATCAGTGACCTACATTCCAAATTTGAGAATTCTAGCTCTTCCCGTTCGCCTAATACAAAGGGTACCATATTTGGTACATTTTAGTACTTTTCGTACCCTTCTAGTTCGAATTTCCAAAAACCCAGCCTTATCTCACGCCTACACACCAACACCAACCCACACTCAAAATTTCAAGCTTCTAGCTTTAGCCGTTTCGTCTGGGCGATGATCTGTCAGTCAGTCACTCACTCACTCACTCACTTAACACTAAGCTCTTTTATATATATAGATTTTATTCACACAACCACCTAGATCACGAACAATCTACCAATGCAACAAACACACATACAAACTTACATTGAGTAAACAATAACAACAACACGTATACAGGCGAGGGGGTAACAAAGAAAGAGGAATTAAGCGATCATTAATGATGACGTTTAACAAGAATTGTACGTCAACAAAAAAATAGACAATGAAAGAGGAAATGGAAGGATGTAGAAAAATCTATACAGTAGTTGTTGTTGTGAAGTTATTCAAATAAACTGCGTAGTAGAAATTTACGTTACAATTCAAATTTTTAAATTAACGGAATTCATCTAAAGTAACTTAAATCTAAATTTATATTCGTAACAATATGTATACAATTATAAAAAAATAAAAAAAAACTTAAAAAATTTTGTAGATTCTTTTAGATTCTGCAACGGAACTTTCATTAGAAATTAATAAAAGTTCCGTTCCAGAACATAAACGAATCTACTTATTTTACATGTTTTGCAACTTTTTTTCTCGAAACCCGTTCTTCAACCCTCAAAACTGGTAAAACATTGAATCAAATTTAAGAGAGCACGAAACAAAATGGCTTTCTCTTTGTAAACTTTTTACTCGAGAAATTTGGCCGAGTAAAAATGGTATACAGTAGGCCTATTTTGTAACTTTTTAACAACATTCGATATTGTTTATTTTACAACAATTTCATTTGTTTGTTTAATTGTTTTTACAATAACAAAAGAAATTTAAACAATATCGAATATTGTTAAAAGTTACAGAATAGGCCTACAGGAACGCCTACTTCTGATTGGCTGTAATGTTGATTTTGAAGTATTGCCATCTAATTTTGGCATATTTACTAAATTTGCGTTCCCGAACTTTTCAAATTATTTTTTATTCTGAGAGCAATTTTGAAATGTTTCCCTTTTACTAGATTTACTATTAAAAAAGTACTGGAACAGACCAAATGTTGAGAAAATTGTGTATTTATTCAATGTGTAAACTCATTCTTGACATACTGTATATAGTTCCTTTGAATCCCTCTCTTTCTTGGTTTTTTTTTTGTGTTTTTGCTCACAAAGTTCCGTGTTGATGTGTTAATAGATGAATAAATTTTAAATTGTGCAAAAATGAAAAAAAAAATATTTAAATAATTTCAGATTGATTTTGAAGTATTGCCATCTAATTTTGGCATATTTACTAAATTTTGCGTTCCCGAACTTTTCAAATTATTTTGTATTCTGAGAGCAATTTTGAAATGTTTCCCTTTTACTAGATTTACTATTAAAAAAGTACAGGAACAGACCAAATTAAATAATTTCTGATTGGTAGAGTATTCAGAAGCTTCAGAATTCAACTGCAGGATGATAAGCACAAAATATTATTTTAATAAATAAAAATATTTTAAATACATAAAATTGTTTTATTATTTACACAATAATAGATTGATATGCGTATGTTTATATATTGTTAACAATGAATAATATGGGAATAAATGAATAAGATAAGAACAATGAACTATATTAATTAAAGAAATGAAACTAGTTCCGATCGTTCCTTTCTCTGAATAGTTCCAACTAGTTCTGGTAGAACTAGTTCATTCCGGAACTACCCAACCTACTTGTTTGATCTATTTGTATTTCCTCAATGTCTGCGAATGTGATGAAATATTTGTCATTGCTGGAATCCCTTATATTTCCAGGTAGTATTTTCTTGTTAGCCCATGGTTTATGAATTTCACGAACGTCAGTTTTATAGGTGGTGACCGAAATGTTGAGACAAGTAAATCCGAAGAAGAACGTATTGGTAAAAACAATGAATTGCTACAAAGAAGTCTTCGTCTATCACCAACGGAAGTGTCGAAGAGATTGATAGAGGATCTAAATGTGAACATATTGACTGGCAAGGAAAGTGGCATTACCTGCGAAGAGGATGACAAAACGCTTTATAGTATATATTCGCTTATGGCTATACGAAATGTATATAATAATACAAATTTCAACAGCGACAAAGTGGAAGATCTGCTTTCGGAACGGCATAAACGGCTGATAAGCTGCTGTTTGGAAGATTTAATTGAGTATGGCCTGAAGCCGAACATACATCCCGCTTTCTGTGGAGGCAAAAACACAGTTTTTGGACACAACGTTAATAAAGTCCCCAATTTTTTCCTTGCACTACTACTTGTTGAAGGTATTTCACCGTTTTTACGGATTGCGTGTTTACCTGCTATTCGATCATCGGATGAGATTATTCTCTGTTATATGGCTACTTTATACACATTGCTATTTGGGTCAGATCTAAAGCAATTTGAAATGGAGGAATCTACTTTGGCGAGGACGAAGGATCGTTTAAACCAATTATGGTGTGATGTACCGAAGGTGACGTATTTTCGCAATATAATGATGCTGTGCGGAATGGTTGCCAACGAGAGAAAGCCGACAATACATCGGGAAATGTTGATGAAATTATGGTCTCCTGGGGGCTTTGTAGCTCTTCTTTTTGCCATGCAAAAGTCGGAGACAGGCGAAGGGCGATCTACAGCAGAGATTGTGGTGAAATTGGTATCCCAACCTTCCTACCCGAGAAGAGCTCAGGAATCATTGGCGAAACAAATTCTACGTTTTCTGAAAGGTAGCGTTGAAAATAAGGATGCAATTCCCTATATGGGAACAGGCTTGTTATCATTGAAGAAACTATGTGAGAACAGCAATTTTAATAGGGATTTGGTGAAAGATTGGCTAAGAGAGCAACTAAAACCATTGTTGGATTTAAAGAAAGACTGTATAACCGTTATGGAATGGAGTGAATTTAGCTCCACAGTACATCTGCTTTTTCAGGTATTTTGCACTTCTACCATAGAATGTTTGCCGAGCGATTTATTAGTTCCCTATATACCAATACTGATCACGTGTTACCAGTTCATAGATAAACACAGAAACAAATCTAATGCAGATGTCGTATGCGGTCACCTATCCTACTTGTTATTGAGAATTCTAAACAATCGCACGACAGATGAGCTGCAACTGATTATAAAGAATGTAATTCTTGGTGAATATCCTAGACAATGGTATACCTTAGATCCGAGGATAACTTTTGAGGAGGATCTATTAAATTCCCAACAATTAAAGATAGTCCAAAGAGACGAGGAGGATGAGGAGCGTGAATGTTACACATTGATGTCATCCAATCCAATGAACGCCCTGGCCAATCTACTTAAACGTTCTTCTTTTAGCACTCTCGTCTATAAAATCTTCATTATCCTATTTCGATTATTTCCCAACATTGACTGTAACACAAAACCGCCGACCATCGACTCGGCCAATAATGTCGATTTATTAATATCTGAAGCGGATGTTCAAAGCAGAGTAATGTGGGAAATATCCAGCAGATATAATGGAAAAATTCAGGTCATCAATGCCTTACACGTGCTAATAGAGCACAAACCGCTTAAGAGCTTATTGGTGGAAAACATAAATGAACTTTTGAGTGCTGTTCAAGACTTTTTGTCTATGTACACCGCAGTCAGCGACGAAAACAATCATCAGCTGGATAAAACCGTGATTGTTATATTGCTGACGTTGATAAGGGAAATTGTGGAAAATGCTCCTGTCAAATTGGAAAGCCTAAGGCATGATTTGATAGATAACTTATTGAAACTACAATCCAAAACACAAGATAATGATTTGAAGTTGCAAATTTTATATCTCAAAGAGCAAATTGTAGGCGGCTGTGATGTAGCCCAAGGAAACAGTTTAAATAAAAGCAGGTTCGAAGAAGCCAGATTACTGGTGGAGTCAAAGGAACCGTACAAGCAAGTAGAAGGAATTCAGCAGTTCATTTCATTGATAAAAGCGAAAGATGTGTTTACCATAAGTAATGTACATGTAGTCACTGCCCTAGCGCTCAACACCCTGACATCGACAGAGTCATATACATTCCTGAACTGTGTTCGTCTCTTTGCGTCATTAGTCTACTTAAATGAACACATGATATTGGATATATTGACTGAAGAATATTTAAATGAATCTGCGGGTATGGATTATAGATTGGTGATTGGAGAGACGCTACTAAAGGTGTGTCATGAAATCGGTAAGACCTAAAAATTTGTTTAAAGTTTGCCAACAACAAAGTTATCTTCTTCAAGGACCACTATGCTATAAATACAAGAACACCCTTTTGAATTGTTACATGTTCGGATGTCGGTCACCACTGGACGAGTTTCGGTTTTCGTCGTTCTCAAATTTGGCACAACTATGCAAAATTTTGTCATACGATGTGCAGAAATACTTCCAAGAGGTATGTAGTCATAGTATTCTGCAAAGGCCACATTGAAGTGACTCAAATTTTTGTTTCAGCTACTCGATTTGATAAATTGTGAATTGACCACGGGAAAATATATGCCCGCTAAACGTGCTGCGGTAATGGTTCTGAGTGAACTCTTGTCAGGAATGAATAATCTAATAGATTTCCAAGAAATGCTATTACCCATTTACCGACTTTTGAAATTGCTAGCATCTTCAGAGTGTGCGGATGAAAAAATGCGTTTGCATGCTTCAGTTGGCCTAGAAACCTTGGCTGTAAAATGTAAAGAATTGTTTCTAGCACCAAATCAAGTGCCCTTGGAAAAGAAGATTCAAATACGAGGAATTAATTCGCAATTAAAACCAAATATAAAAAGTCACATATTATACATGGATTAACGAATTCAGTCGAAAATTAGATAATATTACATATATATTGGCGAAATAAAGTTTCAATCAACGTCATATCATAAAATCCGGATTTTTATTGTGGCTCTGATACGAACAAAAATATGCGTCATCGAAAGAACGACATTAGATATCATGAGTCTTTAGAGCAAATCCGTTCTGCAGAATTTCGTGTTCAATTAGCCAATTAAAATACGTAAACTCTTTCCAAACTTTAGAGCAAATCCGTTCTGCAGAATTTCGTGTTCAATTAGCCAATTAAAATACGTAAACTCTTTCCAAACTTGGTTTTTTATCTAAATTGGAAGATGGGCACTCCTACTAGTAAAAGTTTTCCTATAATCCGTTTTTATAATCGACTCGTCTGTCCGGCTAAAGTTGAGTTTACAAAAGTGTATAAAGTAATAAAATTGGCATTATGTTAGTGCTGTGCAAGCATGGGAACTGGTGCCCTTGTTTACATGAATCAGTATTAATTACTCAGTAAGTTCTTTTGTGATAGAAACAGACATTCTTTTTCAAACATTAAAATTACAAAAAGTAAAAAACAACATTTTGTACAAAATTTCAAATTTGTTGAAACTAAGTAAATGTTCCCAGAAAGATTTTTCAATACTCAGTAATAGTACGTTTACATTTAATCGGATTCCGTTAACCCATTGGGTTTCAATTGCTAATTCCTTTGCATATATGTCAAATAAATCCTCATTAAATAGGTTAACCCGGTAAAAAGTTCTAATATATATGCCGTTTAATGCAAATTCAAAATAACTCTCTCAATTCACGCTATTTTATGTGTTGGTATTTTTGTAAAAAGACAACATTTATTATTATTTATTTTCAAAGACTTTGTTACAAGACTATCTAGCCCATTTTGGGATGCGAATTCAAAGTCTTAATTAACTGTCAAAAATATTTTTATTCAAATAAAAATATTCATGCATAATCTTATCAATACATTTTTTCATAGTGTACGCTTCGTTGTGTTTTTTATTTAAAAATTGTTGACGTTTCTTTTTGTCAACTTCCCCACTATCAGCCTTACCTAAAATTCAACTAGCTCGTTCGACGTTTTTCACCACGAAAGTAGAACACATGTATTTATATGAATGTTACCGAAATACGTCGAACGTACAAATTTTCAAGTTGAACAATTTCAACTTTGACAGAACGTATTTTTAATTTTTTTTCTTTTGTTGAAAATAAAAACAAAACATTCAGGAAATTTGAAATTTCGAATGGAAACAAAAAATATGTGGATTAATTAAAAAAAAATCAAATTTGTTTTGCGGTTTGTATTATTTGCCTGAAGACAGGGATTCAACGTATTTGGGTAATACGGCCGTACACAACATTTTGCCAAAGTGAGGAAGTTGAATATTTTTGTACGCTCTTTTTGTCAACTTCCCCACTATCAGCCTTACCTAAAATTCAACTAGCTCGTTCGACGTTTTTCACCACGAAAGTAGAACACATGTATTTATATGAATGTTACCGAAATACGTCGAACGTACAAATTTTCAAGTTGAACAATTTCAACTTTGACAGAACGTATTTTTCATTTTTTTCTTTTGTTGAAAATAAAAACAAAACATTCAGGAAATTTGAAATTTCGAATGGAAACAAAAAATATGTGGATTAATTAAAAAAAAAATCAAATTTGTTTTGCGGTTTGTATTATTTGCCTGAAGATAGGGATTCAACGTATTTGGGTAATACGGCCGTACACAACATTTTGCCATAGTGAGGAAGTTGAATATTTTTGTACGCTCCGTCGGATTTTAGGAAACGTTGTAAGGGTGTCAAAATATAAAGTTGAAAATGTTCAACATTGACAATGCCTATTTTGAAATTTTTGCTTTTTTTAAAAAAGAAAACTCAAAATATGTTTCAAAAAGAGGTAATGATAGTTTTGTCCATGTAAATTTTGTTTCCAATAAAAATAATTTTGTTTATTCTCCAAACAATTCATTTGACAGAATTTGACAAAGAAGACTTCAGCTGGCCTAACCGCTGACCTTATAAATAAACCTCAAGATATACATAGAATTTTTTTGTTTTATTGTTGGCGCAATGAAAATACACATTTTTGTAATTGTTATTTCAATTCTCAAGATTGTAACTGCAGATGTAAAGGGAGAAAAAATCGGTAATATCGATCACAAATCATTATTGAAGACTCATTTGCTAATTATAAAACTTCCAGGAATAAATTGCTACACATGCAGCAAAGCCGAATGTGAAGGCATTAAAAAGGGCGAAACTAAATTTCTGCAAGAATGTAAAGCCGGCAAATGCTTCGTTAAAGAAGAACCTGACCGTGCGTTTTATTAAGAGTAGTACTTTCAAAATTAATTTTATTTTCTACTCTATATTACAGCCAAAAATCTCGGCAAAATTATTATATCAAGAGGATGTGGCGATACAAAATGTGGGGTTTTCCCATCTTCTTTGTGTTGTGAATGTAGCACGAACGGCTGTAACTATAGAACAAATTGTCACATTACCTCGGAAAGTACTGGTTTAAAATCATTAAGTAAACTAACTTTTTGTTGGCTTCTAGTTCTTCACATCCATTACAAACTCTAAACAATAAAATCATTTTATTTTGTTGTTAGTATTGCCTGTTATTTGATGCCTTTATTATTCCTGGTTTGTTAGCTAGGTGTCTTTATTACTAATAATAATTCTTCTATACCACCAATGATAATATTTGTCAATTTTTGCACAATTATGGTCAAAAAATTAAAAACACCAAAGTCGCAGATCCAATGCTTCACACCATTTTGTGTTAATACAAGAGGCGTTTCTGTCTGTAATCATGGGCAAAAATGCGAAAAAAGTGTCACAATATTTTGCTTTTGTGTCACTTCTGTAAAAAAAGTACTAAATTTGCTTGCAAATAATAAGTACATTTGGGATTTGTTATAAATATTGTTTTTTATAAAGACTAATTAGTTCTCCACTGTGCCAACAGTATTAAAGAAACATAAACTAAAAGCTTATTGATTTATTGTCCTGAAGAGAATGATGGTAAAATTAAGAATTGAGATTGGTCCAAAATGCATTGATATAAAAAAATTGAAAAATCCACTTTAGGCTTAAAAGGACAACAATCAATTGTCCCATTGTTGTTCTCGCTAAGGAGATCCATTACATTTATGTCGGGTAATTTCCGTTGACATGGTGAATGTTATATGTTATATTCCCCGGAACTGATCAGATAGGACTAGGGCAGCCAAATAACAGAATCATTTACAAAAAAGTTCCACTTCGTCGTATTAAAAATGTTCTTGATGGTGGCATTCTTCCTGGTATGGTCTTCATCCAATGTTTCACCTTACATATCCAGGGACCCAATTCGAATACGAATAATCGAATGTAATAAAATAAATGATTTTCATAATTAACTTATTATTTCGTCCATTCATTCTTATTAATTTTTTCTTTCTATCACGTATAGAAATTTATTTTGAAGCTCGGTACAAAAATTATAATAAGAATAATCCTGTAAAAGCACAATTAAAACCGAACCCCGTTTTGCAATATAAACACTTCATGATTTTATTGATATACTGGCCTATTATTCAGATATTCGTCCTTATCATGGTTGTCATAGTCGTGTCAATTTTGAGGCGATTTCATTTCGGGGTCGATGCACTGTAGGTAATTTGCCCTGTTTTGAGGCAAACATTAATAACGGCGGTGTTAAACATTTTTTAACTCTTTAAGTGATTTATATGTACAAGAAAGAGAAATCGAAGATTTCCACAATTGTTATAAGCAACTACGTATATAGCGAACAAAGCCATTTAGAATCGATTGCATTATTAGTTTTTGAGTTATCGTGCCCGCCATTCGCAAAACCACTGTTTAGAGAAAAAAGAGTTTAAAGTTTGATAAGTCTTCAAGAGTTCTTGAGATTTTCACTTGAAATTTTATAGGGACATTCTTGAATTAGTGTAGATTCGAATTAAATTTAAAAAAATTTGACCCTGAGAATGGGGGGTCCCCTTAAATTAAACCCAACTTAAATGAAAAATCGGTTAATTGAAATCGAAATTACTTCCAAAGAGCACTACCTAAAATTCAACTAGGGCGTTCGACGTTATTCACCACAAAAGCTAAACACATGTATTTATATGAATGTTACCGAAATACGTCGACGTACGAATTTTCAATGTTGAACAAATTCAACAATGGCAGAACGTAATTTTTTTTCTTTTGTTGAAAATAAAAATGAAACAAAAAGAAAATATGAAAATTTCAATAAGAATGTGAAACAATTGAATATATTTTATAATTTCTCGATTTTGTTTAGATCGCTAAGAAATATCGATTCGACGTATTTGGGTAATACGGCCGTACAAACATTTTGCCATAGAGGGGATGTTGAATATTTTTGTACGCCTCGTTGAATTTTATGTAACAACGTTACCTAAAATCCGACGGGGCGTACAAAAATATTCAACTTCCCCACTATGTCATTATGTTGTGTACGGCCGTATTACCCAAATACGTCGAATCCATATCTTCAAGCGAAAAACAAAAACCACAAAACAAAATTGAAAATTTATTAAATTAATCCACATATTTTTAGTTTCCATTCGAAATTTCAAATTTCCAGAATGTTTTGTTTTTGTTTTCAACAAAAGAAAAAAATTAAAAATACGTTCTGTCAAAGTTGAAATTGTTCAACTTGAAATTTTGTACGTTCGACGTATTTCGGTAAAATTCATATAAATACATGTGTTCTACTTTTGTGATGAAAAACGTCGAACGAGCTAGTTGAATTTTAGGTAAGGCTGTAACGTTGAAAAAAAACATATTTCTTAATTGAAAAAAAAAAATATATGTTTGCGTTTGCCTTAAAAAAGCCCAGTAGTTCGAGTAACTGGTTATGAACTGGTTATTTTACTAATTACCTGTAACTACCACTAGTTACCTTTCATGCCCTATGGTGAATTTAACATGGGTATGTCATTGGGGAA